GGAAGCTATTCAAAGTGGTGAACAAACGATTTACTCCGAAGCCACAGGGCAACCTGCTAGTGAGAGTGCTGAAGCCAGGTTCTACTCCTCTGTGTGCTCTCTCCTATTTACAACCGTTTGCTCACCTTCCAATCGCTGAAGCAGTCACTCACGAGAGGAGGAGGAGGAGGAGGAAGAAGAGAGCGAGAGTGAAAGCGACCCAGAGGAAGACAAGTTGGACGACACTTCGCCGCTCTCTCGCCGTGCCCAAAAGGCCAAGAATTGGAACGAAGAATTCCAGGTCGACCCCTCCCTACTGTCGTGTCCCTCCCCTCCCTCTTTCTCTTTTTTCTCCCTGGGAGGGACTTTCATGTGTCTGACCACCGGCCAATGGTGATGGTGATCACTGCAGAAACTGCTCGACCGAGAGCCATCAGCCGCCAAATTCAACGATTTGGCCAAGCTGGCCCATGACTTCGTATTTGCAGCAGAGGTAAGAGTCTGCCTGGGGCACTTCCCTCCCCCAACCTAATCTCTATCGTTTGTTCCCCAGACATACGGCAAGATCATCATCTCCGAGCTCAGCCTGCCTGGTACATCCCCGCACGCACGCACGCACAGCACGCACGAGAGAGTCCCAAAGCTGATGCTGAATGCTCCATATTGGGTGCGGAGCTAAATGCAGAACCGAAGAAGACAATCAAGCCGATGGCTGTGGGCGGACAGGCCGGGGGCGAGAAATACATCGTGCAAGGCATCTTCTTCAAGTTCGCACTTGACCTTTACGGTATCTACGGCGGCGATGAATTTGCTATGTACTTCGCAATCCATCTTTTGTTTCAGTCGTGATTCGTTGTGGGATGTCACTGGCACTGACTGCCGACTTCGTTTCCGTCAACCAGGAAAGCAGCGTCACACGATCTGAAGGGGCTGACCCACTACTACAGTTGTCAGATCCCCGGCCTCCACGTACCTCTAATGGCCCGTACGCTCACGCCCTCTATGCGCGATTTTGGGTTGAATCGGCAGGAAAGTGACCCGCCTTTTGTTCGTTTGTACAGTGATCGACTACCTGGGCTTCAGGTTGATCGCTATCACCATTCTGCCGATCAACTCGCACACCATCCAATACGGCTCGTACGTGATCACGAATGTTATGATGTGACGATGACGATGATGATGGATG